AACCTTAAATGTTAAAGAATGTAGCACTCATATGTGTGTTACTGGATTGCTGTTCCAGTGAGTCCTTCATTTAACTTCTGCTTTTACTCAGTCAGCTGGAACAGAATCCAGGCAATGCTAACATACAGCCATCTAAACATGCTAACATACAGCAATCTAAACATGCTAACATACAGCCATTTAAATATGCTAACATACAGCCATCTACACATGCTAACATCCAGCCATCTAAACATGCTAACATACAGCCATCTAAACATGCTAACATACAGCAATCTAAACATGCTAACATACAGCCATTTAAATATGCTAACATACAGCCATCTACACATGCTAACATCCAGCCATCTAAACATGCTAACATACAGCCATCTAAACATGCTAACATACAGCCATCTAAATATGCTAACATAAAGCCATCTAAACATGCTAACATACAGCCCATGTGAACATGCTACCATACTGCCCATCTGAAGATGCTAACATACAGCTATCTAAACATGCTAACATACAGCCATCTAAACATGCTAACATACAGCCCATGTGGACATGCTAACATACTGCCCATCTGAAGATGCTAACATACAACTATCTAAACATGCTAACATACTGCCCATCTGAAGATGCTAACATACAACTATCTAAACATGCTAACATGCAGCCCACGTGAACATGCTAACATACTACCCATCTGAACACACTAACATACCGCCCATCTAAACATGCTAACACATAGCCCATGTGAACATGCTAACAACATTCAGCATAAGTAATGGACAGACTGAACTGTGAATGAACTCTCACCAGGTGTGTAAGTGCTTAGGATGCTTTCAAAAGTATTTGAGTGAAAGTGCAGCAGGTACTGTGAAGTTCTCCCACTGTGATTTCAGTCTCTCCTTGTGTCCTGGATCAGTCTGCCACACAGGTGTTTAAACCCCTCTGTGTTTGCTGATGTGTCAGTCAACACAAATATAAACTTGGCCATGTTTTTGTTCTTATTAACCACAATCCTGAATAAGGTTTCAGAGTCAGAGTTAAACTACTGACTGTCGTGTTAAATTAAGCCTCAGGCAATGAAAGAGATCAATTATAAAGGTAAAGGTAAAGTGAAAAGTAGTCACAGTGGGTAAAAGGAGGTTGTGAGATCCTACAATTTTTTTTTTTTTTTTTTTTTTTTTTTTTGTAATATGTTAGATATTTGATATTTCATACAATAAATATGAACCCAAATTTGCCAGTCAAATTACAATGAGAAAAACTCATTTAAAAGTAAAACGTTCTCACATTCAGTTTGTTTGATGTTTTGCTGTTTGGTTTGCTGTGGAAAAGTTTGTAAAATGATTGTAATACAGAAATGTGTAGGTAAAGAACTGGTTTAGGATTCAGGGATCATAATAGCGCTACAAACATAGTGGAGAATTTTCAACACTAGATGTCACCATTGCACCATAAATGAATATCATCCAGCCTGCCTGACAGATATGATTTTGAAATTGGTTTACAGGCACAAAGACTTTGGTTTATTTTTATTTTTTTAACTTAAATTAGACCAAAGCAGACACAGAGGACGATTAAGCTTCATGATCAGGGTGTATGTTTGAATAAAATCAAATGCACAGTCATCTCTAAATGACAGATGTTAATTACCAGCATTCCTTGGTTTCTGGGTACACCATGCATTTTCTTGATTGAATGCTGGACTGTTTTGTTGAATAAAAGTTGGGTTTCTTGTGAATTCATAAGAATTTGGCTTAAAGATTTTTTTCCTTCTCTTGACTTTATTTGCTGTCATAAAAATGTGATGTGTTATTTTGGTCCATTCTATGATGTGAAAAATATGTAACTTAAGCTTGTGATTATATGATTCTTGTGTGCAACAAACACTCAATGAACAGTAGTGGTGCACCGATTGGCATTTTCTGGTCAAACGCCGATCTTTAAAAAAGCTTGACCTGCTCATTCTGAATTTGGTCTGCACTTTTATTTATTTATTATTTATTTTGTCGGAAAAGTTGCGAAAAATACTGTCAAAATCACTAAGTTGTCAACTCTACACAGGAGACACTGTGTAGTGTCTCCTGTTGACCTCCCAGGTGCAGACATAACCTAGTCTGTCAGTCAGCACGCTCTCACTGAATAGTGAAAGAAAGGCAGTAGTTTCTGAAATGAATATATAAAAAGAACATTTATCCAAGTGTTAAAAAGAATAATGCTACAAATATTAGAATGGATAAGTTGCTTGTGATTTATTCCTTTGTGTATCTTTGGGGGAAGAAAATGGTTTTTAAGTAACTTTGACACCAACCTGACGTGATGTCCAACAATGAAGGTTCTTCTGTCCCTCAGGACGTCCTAAACGTGTCTCTGGAGGAAGGCCAGGGTGACAGGAGTGTTTAATGTTCTGCTTCATAAACTGCTCTCTTCCTTCCTCTCCTGTTGTCCTGCAGGCTGTTTAGCAGAAGGGGGGCCCTGGATTTCCTTCCCGGTGCGCTCCAGCCGGGTGGAGCTCATGACAGACGGAGGTTTCCTGCTGGAACCAAAGTCCAGTTTAAGCCATGAGGAGTTATTTTTGTTGCTGCGCTTCATAATAAATAACCCATGTTATGGTGGGGCGGGGGTTGCTTTGTTGTTCTTCTTTGTTCCCCCGAACAATACATATTCAGATTCTTTTTATTTATTTATTAATGCATTTTTGCCAGAGTTGTCTTATCTGAGTCATCTGTTGATTGTTTTGATTGATGGGTTAAAACAAGGATGGAAGGAAACATGTAAACTCACTCTGCTGCTCAGAGACGTTGAGATGTAAATAAGGAATATTGATTAAAATGACAAATACCTTATATCTATTTTTTTCTACATTTTATATTTGCAATTCCATATTTTTTAAATTATTTAAACAAGTTATTCCACGTAGGAAAAATATGTCCTACATACTAGAATTGCTTTTTCTTTCTGAACCAGGTAAATTCAATGAATATATTAGAATTTTTCAACTTGCTCTGTCTCATTCATTTGGCTGTTTTCTTCCTGTGTCTCCTTCCTCTTATTCTTCCTCTTATTCTTCCAGAAGGAACTCTGCAGTCTGAACTACCGCTCAGTTCTAATTTTCTCCTATTATGACCTTTCTCCTTCTCTCATTGCCCACTTTTCTGTCAATTAACTGTAAAATAAAGGCCACTAGAGCCAATAAAAAATAGTATTTGAATGAAAGATGAATATTTATAATATACATACATCTGTTTGTTACCATTCAGTGGTTTGAAGGCTACAGATCTCCACCCTTCTCTGTTGGCGCAAAAACAGAGTCAATGTTGCTTCCTGAACTATAGCTGCAGTCCTCCACTAGAACCAGATCCTTCTTCATCATCACTCCATCCCACTTCTTCCTCCAAAACTACAGATAAATCGCTCCAATCGTCACTGAAATCGCTCACAACTCCCTCCGCTTTACATACTCAGCCTCAGTTGTTTACGTCTGACTTACCCTGATTACATCACAAGATGGCGCTGGAATTCGACCCAGTTACTACAGAAGAAAGTAGATCTATCTAAATGACGTGGTTTTTATCATTTTATTGAGTTATGTTCTTAACCTTGATTTCACCAGGAAAATCCCACTGAGAATGAAAATGTCTTTTGCAATAGAATCCTGGTCAAAACTGGCGCCAGCACACAAAGATTGGCAGCAAAACAAAAAAAAAGTTATCGCCGTCATGAATCAATGAATGAAAAGATTCCTCAGTTCCTCGTGTCACAGACTCTGTAGCCATCTGCTCTTCTTCTGTCATTGGCACAAAGAGCAGGAAGTCATTTGACCAATCAGTGCATGCCTAACACTGAGCTGCAGGGCTCAGAGCTGTAACTCAAACCCAGACTGCTGCTGAGTAACAACATCCAGAACAGCCTGAGCTCAAAAGGGGCAAAGGGGAACCTATCCACTGAGGTTCTGCTGACCTCTGACCTCTTTCACTCTCAAGTTTCTTCTGAAGACTCTTTAAGCTTAAACAACAGACAGTCAGCCAGATGCTCATTATTTCTCTCTCTTAGCCCTCCTGCAGTCTTAAGCAACGGGGCCTAATAGACCCAGCAAGCTTTTCTTCCTGTATATGAGGGTAAAAAGCAAGTTTGTTTATGTGTGTAGTTTTGGGAACTGACGATCTTACAGAACAGGAGAATCACCCTGAAGATCAGCACTGGACTCAAAACATTGTATCTGTATAGGAACACAGTCACTGCATCACTTTCATCTCACCCCACCGTGAAGCTTGGGGAGGGCAGCATCCTCCTGTGGGGATGGTTTGTTTCTGCAGCAGGAACTGGGAAACTTGACAACTGTGGAATATAGAGCATGAGCTGGACCTCAGACCTCCACCTCCACTCATCCTCCAGCATAAAAATGACTTGAAGCAAGCAGCCAAAATAACACAGGAGATGCTTCAGGAGCAGACTGAGGCCGTCCTTGATTGGCCATTTAGGTCAAACCCTGGACGTAAATCCCGAAGGACATTCCTGATAATAAGACCTAAAACTGCTGTTTCACTGACACTGTCTGACTGAGTTCAGGCAGATCTGCATAGAAGAATGGGAGGAAGTGGCCAAAACAGGTGTGTGAAAATGAACCAAAATGCTTCAGCAAAGCAACAAGGGTGCTGGGGTGAGGGGCTGAGGGGGTGTTTAAGGAAGTTATTTTTTGCAAAAAAAGAAAAATATATATATTTTAACTAATATATTTGGTGTGAAATATTTAGGCAAATGTATTACATCCATTCAGAAACAAAAACTGTTGCAACAAAGTGCGTGTGTGTGTAGGTGTGTGTGTGTGTGGGGGGGGGGGGGGGGGGGGGTGTGTGGTGTGGGGGGGGGTCATTTTACCTCCATGCTTCATTACTCACTCAATACGTCCAACATCTCATTTGAGTCCTCTTCGCTTTATTCTGAAGTTTTGGGCGGAAGTGATGTTTTTTCCGCTCGTGAACTTGTTTACGGGGTGGAAACTTTTCTCCGGGAGGAGCGCGCGCTCTGTCCTGTCCACGCTGCCCAGCAGCAGCATCCTCTGCTGCGGGACTCTGTGAAAGTTGAACCCGCTGCGCCGGATGTTTCCTTTCCTGTTGCTGTCGCTCGTGCTTTGCGTCCGTCAATAAGGGACTGTTCGCGCCGGTGGAGCGGAGATGTGGCGGTCCCGTTAGGAGCTGAAGCCTCCACAGTCCACCCCGCTGACAGAGCGCCTCTCCCCGCCTCAGGGAACATGGGCTGCGGCTTGAGGAAACTGGAAGACCCGGAGGACAGCAGCCCCGGGAAAATCTATTCCACCCTGAAGAGACCCCAGGTGGAGACCAAGACAGACACCGTGTTTGACTATGTCCTGCTGGACTTCAGTTTGGAAGGTGAACTCTTTATTCTGAATTACTGGACTGGTGAAAGTCACTTCTCTAAAGAGTTTCTCATATTTTTGTCATATATTTCATATTACGGTTTCATAGCAAAGCATTAATCACAAATAATGGTGATTAATATAAAACATAATAGGCGAAAATGATTAACTATATTAATTAAACAGTTATTAATGAATAATTCAGTGATTGTGTAGTGTCTGGTATCATCCAGTATGAAGTAATCTGTTGAAAAGTCATTATTGCTAAAAGTGGTTTTGTGCAGTGGAATCTTGTTTAATGTCGTTTTCCCTGGAAATTTGTTTCTTAGTTTTCACCACTTTTTTTAAGCTAAGGTCAGAAAAAGTTTAAGGTCAGAAAAAGTTTACTTCAGTGTGTTTGTGTGTGTGGGGGGGGGGGGATGCGCTTTTTTGTTGTTGCAGTCTGGGGACAGTGATCTGAGATTCATTAAATTCTTAAAGCATCACATTGGTTAAACGGGAACCCAGAATTATGGCATGGTGTAAGTTATTTTCCTGCATTATTTCTGAGATCATTTTACATACTCTCTTCCTCTGCACGGGTCATGCAGGGCTGCAACCCACCAGAGAGGTCATGACACATCACAAGCACGTCTTTTGTTTGTTTGTTTCATTAAAATATTTAAAAGATGCCTGAGAGTCAAAATCCAGGGGAAAGTAACCCACACGTTTATGAATGGAGAGAGTTCAGTATTTTGGATGCATTCAAACTTTTATTGAATAAAAGAATCCGGTCTCTCTGCTGAGAAACAAGGTACAAACCACCATAACACGATGACTTATACAGTCATATGACTCATAAATAGTTGTCTATGACTGAGAGGACAGTTAAATATGAGCAAGGTATTCTAGAGTCATTTTTGATTCAATGGCACTACTGCAGCTAAATGTACCAGTTCAAACCTTACTGTAATATAAGTAATAATAAAAAAGAATCTTCATTGCATGTTTGACATATGTGCGATGGAAACACTTCTCGCCACATGACCATCACATCATTTGAGTCACGTGATGAAGAACCGGATGCTGCCTCTGGCACAAACCACGAAGAAGACATGAAGCTTTCTAATGACTTATTGTGTAAACAAACTTATTCACATGTGATTTTAACTGCATATTTGGAAATATCATAACTGCGAAGTTGTATTTTTTGTTTTGACAGTAGTGAAGTGAAAGTTTTGAACTGGCCACTAGATCCTGACTGTATGATTTCTATGAGATCTCCTAGCAGGAAAATCACATTTTCTCTTATTCCCAGGACTGTTTACCTGCCTTTTAAATTTAGTCTCAAGAAAAACAAGTTTCTCTCTGTTTCTTTGGCCTTAAAAGTATCCAACATTTTAATTATATCGTCTGCTATATTTTATTGGGCACATTAAGTGCAGTAAAAATAATACTTCAACAAGACAAAGTGAAACTACCACCTAAATTACTATGTGAAATTCTCAGCCGACCTTTCCTGGTAACAGAGACGTTATTCAGCCTGTCAAAAAAAGAAAATAGGTCACCAATGATTTTTTTTTTCCTCTCTTCCTCTCGTGGCTCTTTCCCTCCAAACGCACAAGGACACTCACTCATTCACTCGCCTTCCCCTGCGGTTAAATGAAACTCCCTCTCTGACGCGTTAAAAAAAAAAAACACCTGCTGGGAAATGGAGTCTAATTTGAACGGCACTGAGGATAATCCCTTCATCTGGGGCTCCAACTGGCTGCTTTTGCCGTGACCTATTTGGAAGGAAACGGTGATTAAGTTGTGAATGGGAGGCGGGTGTGTAAACAGCAGGCCGGGGGAAAAAAACGATGAATCACAGAACAGAGAGCAGCTTCTACAGTCAGAGACCAGGGAGGCTGAGCAGAGGTCCGCTTAGATTGTGCCGTGATATGGGAAGGTGTATTGATTGATTCTGTGACTGCAGTGATGAAGTTTTTACACTTCATATAGCTTACTTTCTGTGGCTTCCGCTCAGCTGATCTCCATGCAACACTGCATGTGTTTTCTACTCTAAAGCCCCTTCTCCATTGTCAAATCTCACTCCAGCTGGTTAATGTCTGGTTGGGTTCCAGCCGAGTTGGGTGTGTCTCCATTGGCAGCGTGCTTCTCGCTATGTGGGTATGAATATGGGCAGGAATGTGGGAATGTGGGCGTGCAGGAGCTGTGGTCGGCGCGCTGTTGATGTCATGTTGCGTGTGTACCGTTGAGCAGCCAGTTTCTCTGAAATTTTTCGGTATATTAGTTTGTTGCAGATTGACTCAGTTCAGTTCAACCAGTTTTTATAGTGACAATTCAAAGCAAAAAAGCATTTCAATTCAGTGACACATACATTCCAATTCCAAACGGCTCAATTTATTCACAGTAGTTTCAAAAGTTTCTAAGGAAACCCAGCATTTCACATTGAGTGAGTCGCAGCGTTTTCATTACAAATTTGTGCAAAACTTTGTCAATGCTATATCATAATGTGGAAAAAACACCATTTTGCAATTGCGGTGTTTTCATTAAAAACTCGTGCCATGCCATCATCTTTCAAGTACTTCGTGTCGCCTTCCTGTGACTCAAATGATTAAAAAAAAACTGTTTCCGTTGCAGTTTTGTGAAATAAGCCAATTTTGATAAAACCATCCTCACACTAAAGGAAACAAACTCATCCTGGTGCCAAAACTTTTAATCAAGACACGAGTTGTTTTGTTTTGTTTGTTTTTTTTTCTCAAAAATAGCATGTTTGAATTAAGCAAATTTATTTGTGAAATGTCAGATTGTGCAATTTTATGGTCAATGGAAACACAGCTACTGACTTACAGCATTCTGTCCTCTTGAATGAACATGTAGCAATAATTGTTTTTGTTGAGTTGTTGACTTTAGAGCCTTAAGCTTTACAGGACTAAAAGTTTTATCACGGTATTTTGTGGTACCCTTGTGGTGACAATAAACGGGACGATAAGAACAACTTTTCTAGATAACTGTGTGGTTCTGTCTGCGTCACTCAACAATAAAAGCTCCACAAACAAAAATTTCCATTTATAACACATTTCTATAGAACACCAATCGCATAAAGAAGTGTGATTTATAATACGAAGCAGCACACGCTGTATTTAATCATATTTTGAAATGTATTGATATTCACTGATACTCTCATTGAACAAACAGCAGGAGGAAATGCGAAAAATAACAATCCTGACAATAGAGACAGTTCCCGTTCATCAATGGAAATTTATCGACAATAAATCTTAATTCTTTTTATAACAAGATATTTATTATAATAATTAATAAACAATAAATGATTCGATAATTCCCGCCCCTAGATTAAATCATGTAAATCAATGGCTATGGTGCTAACAAACATTAGCAATACAAGGTATATTATGCTCTGATTTATGCATTCGCACACACTACGGACACATAGTGGTCTGCTACAATTAAGCATTCCAGATTGTTAAACTAATGTCAACTTGACACAAAAAGCAGTTTTCAAATGATGATTTAAATTTGAAAAAGTAATTGCACTAAAACCAACTTTGAGTGCAATGAGTCTTTTACTTTATTGTGGAGGAATTGTGTCAGTTAAGCCCCAATAAAAGGATTTTAAGCTAAACAGACTCAAGAAGTCGTGACTCTGACCTTCAGCTTGTCCTGTCTCAGCCATTCGGAGGTGGGCTTGCTGGGATGCTTTGTAACATCGTCCCTGGCAAACAATCCCAGCTTCTTTGAGTTTCAGGACAAAAACTGGCAGATGTCCTAATGGATATTCTTGCACAGGTCTGAAGATTCCAGCAAATTGTCTAGATTATGAAGAAGGAAAAGACTAAAACCATCTCATTACCACCACAATGTTTGACTACAAAAAATAGGTTAGTTTGAATTGCACTCATGAATATTTATAGTGATAGTTTTCTCAGTTACCTTTCTGCATCTGTTTCAAGACCATGAAACAGACGCAGACTCTGTCCTCAGACACACATATAAATAAAGCTTTTCACTCAGAGTGTCTTCATGTGACTCATCTGTGTGTCTGGACCAAAAATACATGTGCTAAGTTTTAAATATTTTTTTTTCCCTGTGTAATCACTTCAGCTGCAGTTGGGAGTTTTCGTCTGCAGAGAATCCTAACAGCAGACAGAGTGTGATCCTGATTCCTTTGTATATGAGCAAAGGAAGACCATTAGGTGTTAATTGTTCACTTTTGTGACTTTGTTACAGGAAGGGTTCAATGGAAAGAAGAAAGGTGAAAATGCAAATATGCAAACAGTATGAAAACAGCTCACTTACACTTTCTTTAGTTGGACAAAAATGCTATCACTGAGTGTGAAACTCCATACTTGACAGAATACAGAGATAACCTGTAGTCTTCTATACAATAGAAGACTTTATTATCTCACAGTGTAACTGTAATTTAGATGTAACTGACAGGATATTATGACATATAGGTTCACACAAGTATTAAAAATGCCTAAAAAACAAAATTAAGAACAATATACCGTACACTAAGGACAAAATTATAACTTAAAATACTGAAAGGTTATTGAAAATAACATAGTCTGATCCAAGAAATGTCCAATTGAGTAGGATCATTTAAAAAAAAGTGCAGTTATTTGTGCATTAAAGACAACAGACAATTTACAACATATGAACATAAAACTGTGCAAATACCAGTTTACCCAGTTTGTACTCGGTTACAACTGGCATCGTCTTTTCAATCTGCTGAGCTATTTCTTGCCAAATGATTTTAATACAGCACCACCCATATGAAGCTAATGTCTGCCATCCGGCTCACACCATGTCTTCAGAATGAAGACACTCACTTCACAGAAGTTTCTCTCATCTGACACCAAAGAAACACACACATCTCAAGGACGTGACAGGATTTTATGTTAACCAAAATCCACTTCAGTTCCTCAGATAAAAGCTCTAATAGCTGTAATAACAGTGTTTTTTTAATATGCTGGCATACATAGCAAGACAGCAAACAATGAGAATGCAGCT